GGGGGGGGGGGGTTAGCTTGATATATCAATCTTTAAGGCACGCAGCCCCTCCCACCACAACATTGCTAAAGCAAAGAAGAACTCAGCTAGCATGCTAGCTTTCGTGATAAAAAATGCCCACCCCATATTGAATGCAACTAGGTCTCGACTGTGGAAGGAAGTCAGTCGCACTGTGTGCCTTTCATGTTCATCAGTTTCATCCAACTTCCTGCCTGCAGCCCACCATGCAAAGCCAAACGAGCTGCGAGCAAAGCAGCCATCAAGACCAGGGGCAGCAAGATTTTCAAGACCGGCCTTGATGCCTTTCCGGACATCCACTGGAACAGCTCCAGGCATGAGCAGAGTGGTAGTGCCACCGCAGTAGCAGTCTCTTTGCAAAGCAAAGCTGAAGAAGCAAAGAGCAAAGAGGAGGGCCAATGAAGTTGCCACAGAATCAGGCTCAGGATTGTGGTCAGCGCAGCAAGTAGTTCTGCCCGGCCCACAAGACTCGCCACAGCTTCCACGTGTACAGGATGACAGGCAAATAGTAGGGCTGCCAGAACTGATTCAGTCAAGCGAAAACCAAAAGCGCAAAAGAGAGCCGGCAACAGCCCGCAGTTCAACGCATGTATTAGAACATTGAACATGTGCATCATATTGGCTGCTTGCGAGTCAGCTTGGTCGCCTGCATATCTCATTTGGAAGCGAAAAGTCAGTGTGGTCAAAGGCCGATAGCTTTTGTGGCTCTTCTCCGATTCAAGGGGAAATCCCCAAAAATCGTGTCTGAAGATGTCAATCCACGGCTGCGATGAATAAAGGTCGGGATTGTGAACAATTGCGTAAGTGTCGTCATATACAAATTCTCCCTGCAAGGCATTCCTCAATTGTCAAGCATGGAATCAAAATGAATCAAGAAGGAAAGCCCGACAAAGCCCGATGCCAGTTTTCACCTAGCATTCCAAGTTCCAAGGCTCTTGAACACAGCGAAGCTGATTACCCCCACAAGTAATGACAGTGCTACAAGCAGTCCAGCGTGCTTGATGGTGGCGATCGACTTCTTCATATGTGCCATTGCGGCCATTGCGTCTCCCTCTCTCCCTCTCTCCCTCTCTCTCTCATACACAAACGCACGAATCGGTCAGCCGGCGAGCTCCAGTACACTGTTATGCTGTGCATGTGTTTTCTTGGCTGGATGGAAGCGCTCTGTTCTATATGGGCTGCTTTGTTCGTTCTCGCTTTTTGCTTGGGTCCAAGCATAAGAATGATGATCAATGCTCAGAATGATGGACCAGATATATACTATATACAGCTCTAGTGCTTCTTGCACGAACGCTCTGACATTGACACGAAGTGAGGGTTTCTCTTTGCCTCTCTTCAGCATACAACCAATTTGTGAACGCACCACACTGAATCTGCAAACGGCCACCTTGCTTCGCTGGCAGAGGCAAGCGCTGATCTGATCTGTCATGATCAAATGTCAAGGAGATCGGAGCACCAAAACCTAGGTTGCACACCAAGCAAGCGAAGGGCTGAGAAGGTATTTTCTGAGCATCTGTAATCAAACGTTCGTTGGAAGGCAACGTCCTTTTCATACCAGTTCTTGGTACGCCAGCTGTCTCCGTGCGAGGGAGATTCCTCGCCACGGAGGTGACCTCTGAGGCATGTCTGTTCCAGAAAGCCTAGTCGGAAAGGTTTGCCCGGAGTCGATTCACTGAGTTGGTCTCGGCCCTTAGCGGCCCTTAGCGGCCCTTCCTTAGCCTGACCGGAAGTCCTTGGCCTGTCAGCCATCCTCAGTCAATCAACTCCCAGCACGATGCTCTCGAGACGTCGTTGTCAAATGGACGTCACCACTCTTGGGTGTGACATCTCCAGCCTGACTTCGAACAATTCTTCCTTGAGCACAGGTAATGCCAGGAGCTTCTTGTTAGTAGTAATGCCAGGAGCTACTAGTAGCTTCTTGCTACTAGTAGCGGGCGATGCGCTTGTTACTAAAGGCGTTCACTGCAACATATGATTTTGAAGTCAGATTCTTGAGTTCTATACATCAAGCTGCTCACGTCTCGCCCATTGAATCCTCCATAGACCCTGGCATGCTACAACATCATGAGGAACTAGTGGGAACCGTTGATTTGGTTGCATGCCTTCCAGGCTTGTCGCCGCTGATGTTTTATCTTGAGGTCTGTGATCCCAGAGTGGAAATGTGCGAACAGGTGGTGTCTCACATTTATGTGTGTCTGTAGCGAAATGCACAATCGCAGTGCTGTGCAGGGGATGCTGATTCTGCCTCCATCTGCAGCTATGCCTCATACAAGCCTGGCAAACAGTGCGAGCCTTTTGGCATGCCCTTACAAAGTGCCTACATCATAGCTCGTCCCAGCCTTTGACCACAAGCCTTTCATACTCATCATAGCTGAGCTTCTGATCCTTGTTCAAGTCAGCACCTCGGACCACTGGACTCAGCTTCTGATCCTAGTCCAGCACGCCAACTGTCTTCTGACTAAGGCACGCTTGAAAACACCTTCAATCTGGGCATCCGTAAGCTGCACCTTCATCTTCTGCATCACCTGAGCCACGAGTCACATCGCCAACTAAAAGGTCTTCAAATTACATTTCAGCGCTGTTGCTGGTCACACCAACCGTGGCTACTTGCTGAACAAGTAGCACTCTTGAATTCGGAGACTTCGATGGTTCCGGATTTGTTGGTGTCAATGTCTGCGTATGCAGCTTTCAGCATGGTCCGCTGTTCCTCACTGAGACCTGGAGTCGGAGCATCGCCCGAGTTTTGACCAATCAGGGCCAAAGCATCTGCCACCTTCTTCTGCTCCTCTGAGCTGAGTGTTTTGAAGGTCTCTTGCACTTGCTCTGGGCTGGCATCCTTCAGCTGACTTGATGCGCCACCACCCATGACTATGTAGAAGCAAGGATCGATCTCAAGGTCTTCTGCCTTCTGAGCCGAAAGGATTCTATTTTCCAATAGAAGTGTTTTCTTTTCTGATCCAAAACGCTCCAGAAGAAGGTTTCCTGCATCTTCAGTCTGGACTCCGGACAAATGATCAAGAAACAACTCAGGACGCCACTTTTGCATCTGGAATGCAACACATGCTTACTTGCATGGCAGGCGTTTAGATCCAACTGGTGTGTGTGATGCATCAAAAGAACAGTTTTCACCAACAATCCAGCCTAGAAGTGTTTCGTCCAATCTCAAATCATAGTGTACAAGCATAAGTTCAGATGTTCGTGTTGGGTACTGGGCTGTGATTCTGGACTCTTACAGTTTTTCGGCTACACCTGGCAGTCTGCACTTTCGGGAATGATAACGGTATGCTAAGTTCTACAGTACCTGGTTCTTCATTTCCACAGAAGGTACTTTATATTCAATGGTGTCTATCCGCGAGTTGACCAATTCTATCTATGCAAAGCTACCACATGCACTCGGTTTCCTTACTTTTGACAAGAGGTCAAATGGCCGTGGGTCGAAACCCGGCTCCCTACGTTGACCTCCTGATCCGGAGGTCTGGAACGAGATGTATGATCTGGAGTTCTGATCCGGAGGTCTGGAACGGCAGGTGTGTTCCGGAGGCCTGGAATGAATTCAATCTTTGTGCTTAGTAGTGATCACATATATATATATATATACGTTTGATGCATTTGCACTCCGTGGAGAAAGCAAACCCTCCACGCGTGAGGAAAACAGAAGGCTCCCCTTTACATCCGACATTGCCCAAAGATCCCCTTCGTTGATACAAAAGCGTACGCGCCCGCCCTTGCACTCTGATTTTCACTGGCGCCATGGCCAACCCTAGGTCATCAGCTTCACAACGTGGGGAAGGGCTCAAAGTGAGCTCGAGCAGGTCTGGAACGGGTATGGAACGGTCTGGAACGAGGTCTGGAACGAAAACGCACATGTCTGACAGAGTTCTTCAAATCCACCAAGCCCACTCGACTCAGTCATATTTCGGCCCGGGGCGGAAAAGATCGCATCTGAAGCGTATGTCGACATAAATGGCCCAAACCACCCCCAGCATGGCTCCAAGCAAGACCGCGACACCCAGCGAGAGAGAGAGAGAGAGACAGAGACGGCTCTCCCGACCTTCGGTGTATCTTACACACACCCGGGCGGTAAGCCCCCTTCCACATTGAAGGATGCTGCCAGGATGCCCGAAGTCCCGGCCCCCGTCGCCTCATGTCTCTTGCCTCTATCCCCTCTACCGTCTTACTTTCTCCCTGTGTTGGGCCGGCGCCCGGCTGTCAGGCGTAAGCCTTGAAATTCAAATACCGCATCGAGTTATCTTAGCGGTCCTAGCATCTTTCCAAAAATCCAGGAATACCAAAAGGGAACCAATACAAAACCAAATCTAGTCTATATATAATGTAAATACTTAAGAATGTATTTTTTAGACAAATACTAGGGCGTGACTAGGCCCAGGCTGCTAGTTACTAGGGCGCGACTAGGCTACTAAGCCTGCTTCAGACTGTGCCCTGGCCCATCAACTACTTCATCAAGACAATTACAAATAGATTAGGGTATAGAACATAGCTATGAAACAAGGGTCTGGAACGCAAGTATGGAACAAGGTCTGGAACAAAGGTCTGGATCGTGGTCTGGAACGCCATACCAAAACATTTTGACTCATTGCCAAATGTCTGTGCCGGGGGCTGCAATTTGCAGCATCTTCGACAAGCATGCAGCTGCATGTGCTCATTGACATGCTTTTGGTGAAAAGGTGTGCACGTAGTCTACGAAGCCATCTAGCCAGCTGGCGCAGGGTTGTTCAGCCATGCAGCCGCAACCTGACAAAAGCATGTGCGCCAAATCTGCAAGGTTGAAGTACATGTAAACTAGTAGCTTCTTGTTACTAGTAGCGATGGCCTCCAACCTGATAGCGATGGAGGCCCACCTAGTAGCTTCTTGCTACTAGTGGATCCAAACCAGTGCTTCTTTCACACGAAGCACTCCACACCTCTCGCAGCTCTTGCTTTGCAAATGCACAAGCACTGCTCAAGTCTCCTTGAAGCACTTCGTTGTTCTTGTTTCTGCTCTTTCTGCGGATTATTTCGGTTTTACTGTACTATTTTATAATGAAAACCTCATCCTGTCGTGACACCTCTCGTGCCTCATGTGCTAGATCGAATCGAGTCTGCTGCAAAATTAATTCTAGGGATCCTGCCATCACTTCCCACGCATGGTTCTGTTTGGAAACCTAATCCGATTCAGTCCGGCATAGCAGTTGAGGAGACAGCTCTCAATCTCTTTAAGATTCTCACGTCGCAACATGATAATGAGCTCCTTCCGCTTTCCTGCTCTTCGATCGCGGCAGCAAGAAATCAATGACAGGGAAGTTGATGAACTAATAGCAAGTTCCAAGGTCCTGCCAGCACCTTTCCAAGTTCCACAGCCGCCCTCTTTCCAGCAGCGTTTACTAGGTCCTGACAAGGGCCCAACGGGCCTTCTCTTGCTGTACGCTGCTCGTCAGGGAGCTGAGCGTTGCCAAGTCGTTCAAGTAGTCTATTCAGCCAGGATGACGCATGCTTTGAAGTCACCAAAATGTCACTACGAGTACTCGTGTAGTTACCCTTCCTTCACGACCTTGCGCAGTTCCAGGTCGACTTCATGAAGGCTGCACACCTGACAGCTTTATCTGCATCAAGGGAGTCTTCTGCTTCTGATGACTGAGAAAAACAATCCCCACCTCTTTCTCTTCTGATAGCAGACCTTTGCCACAAAAAGAATACAGTACCCACGAGTACAGTAATACTCAAGAGCACCAGTGCCAAAGGATTTGATTCGGATTGATTTCACAAACGAGCCAAAGATTCTCCATGCGATCAATCAAAAGTTGCGAAACGAAAAAAAATATTGCTCACTAAGTCAGCAAACAATACATGAAGCACATGAGTCTGTCTGGCCTGTGCCCAAGCTCCAAATTGAAACCCCAAATGTTGTAAGGCCAAGGCTACCACTTCTTGCGGTTTTGCGAGCGACTTCTTGCAACAGGAGTTCATTGCCTTCACTAAAAGCTTGGGCCCGCCCGAATCGCACGAACAACGAAAACTAGGGACGGCACGAGCTGTCCAAGGCAAGTTGTGTGAACTCATTGATTGAAACTAGGAAGTTAATATATAGGAACCATTAGGAGCCCTGGACAGGACTTGTGCACCCGTGTGACAGCAGCGTCGCACTGATGCACTTTTCATCCAATAAATGTATATAGTTTTGTCAAAACCATCACATTCTCATAAAGGCTGCATGCCCATCAAATCTAATCAGCATGAGCCTCCTGATGGGGAGCGCTGCTGACCTCAGGATGCACACACTGCGGAGGCTTCAGATTCGCGGCTTCCCAGCTTTCTCAGTTTCCAACCCACTAAGGAAAAAATTCGCTCCACCAAGCAGCGGCCGACTTGGTCTCCGATTACCTGATCAAAGCGCTGCTGCAAAAAGAGTTGTTCGTTCAAAGCCTCCGGGAGTGATTCATCCAAACTCGTTCATCCAAGAAGTGATTCATCTGCTAACAACATTATACAACCTACCAAATTCAAACCCACCCAGAAGGTCCCAGATCGCAACGGCAAATACTTCGTCATAAACCGTCCCCATCTTGGCCATTGTGGATGGGCGTGGCAAGCAGAAAACGAAAAACATGTTCCCCTCCCTCAATCCATGCCTCTGGATGCCATTGGATACCATATATATGGTCATGAGTGTGCTCCATCGCCATGATCTGGCAAGCATTGTGAGAGGACTCGTGCACACGCATTCGCCAAGTGATCTTAACATCAGGCTTGCTTGGGATCGGACCCGGTTCCTGGAATCCATCGCTGTCCTCACAACGGAGCTTGTTGGCAGGTTCTCAAAAGTTCCACTGTTGCACACTTTACCAATCATTGTCATTGTTTCAAGAGCTGTAAGACTTCGGCGCCACAAAATGCAGTGGCAACTTCTCAACGAAAATATAATTGGATGCCTCAGTGACCGGAGTGCATAATTCCCATGAGCGCACCCAAAAAGTTGAAGAAATCAGCATGCCCTCGAGGGCGCTGACTTTTTGCACAAACCGGGGAGGCATTTGATGAAGCCTGGCATCCAGGAGGGAAGGCCAACAAACGAATGTCCTCATCAATGAGCCCCTTTTCCGGGCGCAGGGAGCTCCGCTGAATGCTGCAGCCTAGCAGGGCTGACTGTCGCGCACCCTATCTGCTGCAGACGAGGAAAGAAGCATCTTCTACGGTAGGTCTGTTACATGTGTCATTGTCATGTACCCATGGTATGATAAGTGATTGCTGTCATTGACCGTTGGAAAATTGCTTTCTGCAATTTATGGTCCCCTCTGAGCAAGCTCAATGCACATTGACATCCCAGCCTAAATTCTTCTCCAGCTCCTTCTTCTGCTTAATGCATCGCAGAGTCTCCCTCAGTCTCTCTGCAATAGTAATAAGTTGAGCTCAACCACAGGATTCTGAACATGTCCGGAGTCGTTTTTTGCTTGGCAAACGAACTACTGGTTTCTGAGAACAAGAACGGTAGCTTTCAAAGCACCGGTGCTCAGATTGAGTTAAAAAGTTGGGTCATCCTTGAGAGTCCCTTTGATGCTTGATGCAGCTGAATTTGTATGATTCAAATTCCGATGTAGAGGCATCAGCCCGCCTACTTCCGCAATGTTACAGTAATAGTTTTGTGATAGTGGAATCACCTTCCTACAAAGCCTATGGACTTATGGACAAAGGGAAACTGAGACATTCAAAAAGGTCAAATCAACTGACAAATTCAATATGCTGCGTGCATTGTGACAGGGATGTTTGCGTATATGATATTGCCGTTTCTGCTTCGCTAGATTCTAGATTGCCTCAAACAACAAACTTCTGGAGATTCTACAGTTGTGGACTTGAAGGAAGCTTCAAGCTTGCAGGCAGCACACATCATTTACCCAAGGTGCTTCAATTCAACGGCAAATCACAAGAACCGGGCCAACACTGGAGGATACAGCAAGCCATCTTCAAGTCCAGTAGGACAGTCGTGCACAGCTTTGCATTCAGCATTGCAATGCTGCATTGCATGCTGCAATTGGGGCAACAGCAGTCGGCCAAAAAAAAACAAAATCATGCGTGGCCTCTGAGCGCCGCTAGAGGGGAGCACGGAAAGTATGTATCTGATTCAAAAGAAGAGGCTCTGAGAAAGGCCGGTCGTTTCCCCCCAAGACAGTCTTG